GACCGAAAGATTTGTTGGCATGCAGTGCAACAATGCCGAAACGTAGTAATCTCGTGGATAAAGAAATACAATTTGAAACACCGTCGTGTATTCCCAGCATTTCTATGGTTACATTTTCTATCATCATTAGCTGAAGAGACCATCAAGATTGATGGAGCGATCACATCAACTCCAGCTGAGGGATTGATTACCTCAAACTCCTCCTGATCTTCAGCCTTAATTCTCTGTACAGGACTGATGAAGCCACTGGCTAGCGAAATGTTTTCACAATGAAGATACCCAAATTTTGCACACGTCTTAATTCGTCATCCTGTCGATTCTTTGAACCATTCACCTACATTCCTTAGAACCTGAAATATTCAATCCTCTCTTAGAGAGTTTAATCATTTCCACAGACAGGTGATCATTACCATACATATATTGCGTTTTTAGATATATCGCAGTGGAAAGAGGACTTTTTTTTTTTTACCCATTGGCATTTTGCCCAGTTGATTAATTCCAGCCGGGTTGGAATTTTCTCACTCATTTGCATAGTAATATTCCCCAAATGCTACCCACGACAGTCGGCTAACGCGCAGGTACAGCCCTGTGATCGCTCTCATTAAGAATCATGTAGCTTTATACTCTTGGTCAAAACTTCACTGTTAGCTAACTTTGTGTGACTTTGTAAATGGTCCAAGTCGGACCGAAACGTCGTCGTAAGCTCCTCTCTTCTATGTGCGGGTTATTTGTGTATGGATGAATAATTGACGACCTGGGTGTATACCGCTACTGAACTGCTGGTACTGGTGGGACCAGCAACTGAGATGTGACTCCCCAGATAAAATTAGATGAGTACATAAAAAAAACCATACCACGGGCGGGCGGGGATAGAACCCGCGATCAGAGAGTCAAAACTCCAGACCGACTCTCTGATCGCGGGTTCTACCCCCACCCGTTGTATGGATTGTTTGCAATCGTGTCATTACGATTTCGCGAGTCTAGATGAGTATATGTTAGGAAACTCGACTGTATCTGGTGGGCGACAATACTTACGATGTCTGTTAGAGGCGGCTGTGATGAGATGACGTGACCTGGGTATCAAAGACTGTCAGATGTTGAGATGTCAGTTGCTGAGATTGTCAGAATGTAACATTTCAGCTGAAGGCCTTTTCTTGGTTTGCTACCATTTATCATAACACAATAAAGGGGGAAAACACTGCAGCAGACCTACTGGCCCATGCTAGGCAAGTCATTCCTTCTTAAACCCAAACCCATTCTCGATGTACTGATCTGATCTTACTGTGTTCTGTGACTTCCTGAGGTAGCCTGGCTCCGTTGTTGTTCCACAGATATAGCAAGATCATAACCAGATGGTCGATTGCCTTGAACTACTGATGCCTTCCCTAATACTGAGAGGACTTTGCAG